AGAAATACAGCATTTATAAGAGCTCGGCTTGGGAGAGATAGATGACCACAATATCAGAACTCTTCCTATCCCAAATAATAGTCCAGGAAGTTAATGCTTTTATCGACGCGCACAGAGCATCCACTTCATATTCTTTAACAGCTTAGTCTCTATTTGGGTGGATCTGTAAATTGTTAAAGACTGTCTTGTTTTATGGGATTTTTGGCAGCTGAATTTTCCTTGTGGAACTCTGTTTTCACAAAATAATTCTCAGATGCAAAGAAAAGCTGTTGCCCTCTGCAACTTATAATGCTACCAAGCAAATGGAAGATTGTACTGCTAAAGAGGCAAGGAGCCCTTTTGCGTTAGGACAGAACTAACACCCATTGTGGCAGACAAAAGCAAAGCTCTGAGACGCCAAGTTCAAGAGGATGCATTGTACTGTCAAAGGATACATTTCACTTGCAAGCTTTAGCAACAAAAAAGTGAAGATCAAGACAATGCAGGACTCGCTCTGAGCTACTAAAAAATAAAACTAACATTAAGCTCCATTCATTTTCATTAGTTAGCAAAATTATATTATATTCAATCACTGTATTCTGAATAGGGAGCTCAAAGCCAAATCCAGAATCAACGCACCTTACAGCTATGTAGTAAGCTAGAGGTGAACTTTTATTTCAAATCACAAAATAGGTCCCAACTTAGACAGGATCCCCAACCCCCTAAATCATAACACTGAGGTGTTAAAATATGAATAGCTTTTAAAACCAATTAATAGCTTTTAAAGTGAGAAATGTCTACTCTGCCAGATCTCTCACATAATAATCTAGTTTTATCCAGTGGAGTAGTGAGAATTAGTACCATATTTATTCAAATATAAGACAAGATTTCCTCCTGCCCCATCAGCATGGAGAAAAAAGATCCTAGTCTTACATTTACATTGAAGGAAACATCATCAAATACATTGTCTATCAGTAAACTGCTACCAAAAGCAGCGTGTGCTCAGTAACAGAAACCTTGATTAAATGGAACCAACTCTAACTATGACTATAAAACATGGCCCATATTAGCCAAACATACTGATGGAAGCCTACTACAAAGACAGGTTGGTGCTGCCTATCTGAATAAGATATATAGTAGTGCCCATTGCACTCAGACTCTTTTTCAAGTCATGGTGAGCCACTACTTGACATATTTTCTGATTTCCTCTTCACTCCCACAGCTAAGCTGTGCCTTTTTTTTCCCATTTCCAATTATTCCTGTTTCTTCGCCAGCCTTATATGTGTAGAAAACATCACAAAAAAAGGCCCCAAACAGTTCACTCAGAATTTCTCTTTTGCCCCTTCTCTCAGCCTGTCACATATGATTAGTGTGGCCCTGCCCTCCAGAAGGTAGAGCTGGACTGGGTTGCCCTTGCCTCATCTGCATATACATTTTTGGAGGATCTCAGGACTCGTGACAAGAATACCTAGTTCTAGTTATAAGTGTGAGGCTAATTATCACGTGGAACCTTTGTGGGGGGGGTGGTATATGAAGTATATACATATACTGAGCAGTGTTTATCTGTGAGGTCTTCTTCTCTGACCTGCATTTTGGTTGGGTTTGTGTGAAGCTGGTTCTTATTGTAGTAATTTGAGAGGTTTTTCAGTGCATATGTCAGTCAGTTCTCAACAGTGGGAAAGTCATTTTCTTGCGACATTATGCATAGTTCCTCAGCAAATAGGAAGCTTCTCGTGTTACTCTGTGTGGGTTGCCATACTCTTTATGTCGCCATAGTGTAGGTATTTTAAGGGCTGATGAGCAATTGTTAAAAGGTGTAATATTCATAACTTGGTTGTGGAACCAAAGTGCTTGATCTGCTGCATGCATATGTCATCAAGTCGACCTGCTTTGCCATTCTTCAAGTGACTTCTAGCGTCAAGGTCATCCATTGTGTATGACGTGCTAAAATGATTTCCCTTCAAATCAGTTTGCCATCTAATCCATATTTTAGCCTGTTTGTTCAAAGCTTTATCATTGAGCAGAAGCTGGTGAGCCACCTGATTGGCTGTGATGTTGTGGCATTGCTCTACTTTCTTGGGGTCATTACTCAGTTTCCAAGTGGTTAACCATGTTTTTCTGCTAGTGTGGGTCATACCAATTCTTTTGATCAATTCTTTCCATTTCTGTTGTCTTTCTTGGAGCTTGTTAGTTTGGTGCCGTCCCTGGCACAATAGTGGCTTCTGAGAAGGGATCTCTTTGAAACCATTTGCTGGTATTTTTTGGTTTGGTTGCTTGCATGGGAATACACCCTTGTATATGCTCAGTTCTGCATCCTCAAGGTGCATCCTCCTCTTGAAAACCTCTTGAAGGTTTTGCACAGTTCATTTATGAAGAGGTTATTGTTATACTCGACTGGTTCGATGTGTTTCTTTCTTTTTTTTCCCCAAGGTCTTCAGAAAAGCCTCTCCAGTCTTCTTTCTTAAAATTGAAGCCTCTATGCAATCATACCATAGTTGGAGTTATGGCTGCTTTGACATTGATAGCTGTGGGTGTCATCATGGCTTGAGATGCTCTTTACTCTGCTGGGGCCCAGACCAATGAACTCTATGGTAAATCTTGGTGCCTTTTGGCTTTAGACTAATAGTGTGCATAGTTTTCCTATGTATAAGTAGGCACAAAAGTGCTACTTAAAAGTGTGTTTATAGAGTACCTGTGCTAAAACTTGCAGCAGTTTCAAAAAAGGTAAAACATATCAGTTCTGGATGAACTAAGTCCATAGGTACCCATAGTACATAGCCCGTGTTTTCAAATGTGCTCCTCACTTCCTTGTGCTCAGGGAGAGCATGGTCTGACACTAAGGGTCAGGGGAAGGGGCTGCAAGGGGAAGAAGATGAGACCGAGGATAAAGGGGTTACCTGATCCCCCAGATTTCCTACTGCAGTAGTGGGAGGGGGACAAATTTAAGGCAAACTTCCAAGAATCAGACTCTATATCTGTACAACTATAACAAATTTATAAATTTTCCATATATAGAATCTAAGTAGTGTGGGGTTGTCTTATATTCAAGGTTGTCTTATCTTTGAGTAAATACAGTAGTTATTCACATATTAGGCTCCTTATTCCTACTAAACTGTGGTTGAACTACATGTACAAAGATGATTCACTGGTTAAAACACTAGCACAGGACTTAAAAACCTGGATTAGTATGATTTCATATGTACCTTAGGCAGGTACTTGTTTTAGAATATCCCTTTGGGAAAATCTGCATCTTTAGGCAACAAATATTTTTAACCTATTCCATTTCTTTGAGGATAATAGCACTTTCCTATCTCACAGACATATTGTGAAGATAAATATGTTTTTTTAAAGCTAGTAAGGTGCTCAGAAACTCTAGTAAAAAAGGAACCATACATAAGTACCTGAGAGAAATCACAGAGATCATAATATTATTGGCTGAGCAATACTTAAAAGCTCAATTCAAACAGATTTTGAATTTCAATGCACTACTTTAAAACAGTATATGTTGGTATGCAATTTGTACTTAGACATAGTACAAATTTGTATTTAGAGCTAGTAGTAGTGCTCAGTATCTTTCAGAAAACTTCAATGGCTTCCTTTCTCTTTATAGAAGACTAAGGACTAAATCCTGCCATTTTACTCAGATGCATAATGAAATTTAGGTACATGCAAATTTTTATGAGCATAACCTGAAGGATTTGGCCCTGCAGGTTAAATCAGCTTTACCATTCCCAATAGTTATGGTACAAAAAGTTGGGGTAGGAATATGGATTCTAGCAGAGCTGTCCTCTATTTCCCTGCTAAGAAGACTTACCCTAAATTAGGCCAGCAGCAGTAAAAGACTGCAGTACATTTTCAGTAGATACTTGAACTGTGATATCAACTTAGTTTATAAATTGCCTACTAAATATGACTGGCCCACTAAAGATTACTTTCATCTGCAAGTGAAACATTTTGACCTCTCTCACTTTCTGTGCTGGTGTACTTAGGTCTGTCGCCTTTGAAGCTGTGTTGGCATGGAGAAAAAAAAATCACTGAAAGGTATCTTTTCAGGTCACTGTTCATTTCTCATTGAACTGAAGAATCTGCCCTCTTGGTGCCTTGAATTAGAGTTGAGATCTGTACCTCTGTTCCCATTTATCTAATGAGGACAGCAATTGAGCAGTACATAATACCAAGCAGAATTTCTTGCTGCAGAAATATTAGACCATGCTGTTTCTCTCTAATCTTGCCCAGAGGATATGTCACAGCTGAGATTTCTGAAGTTATGAATCTTAAGAATTTGTTTCTGCAGGTTGTAGACACTGGATGCCAATTCCAGACAGGCAGATATACCTGTTGTACACCATGAGTTTGTTCACTAAACATATTAGACATGTAATGAGGCCTGGGTTGTTTCCCAGTTTACTGTGAGTTTTATTTTCCTGCCACATTCCTATTCCTTGGGAGTAGTGATTCTCAACTAGGGTGCCTGGGCAGCCTGGGGTGGTGCCAGATCTTTTGAGAAGTGCCACAAGGTATGAGGAGATAAGTAGATAAATGAGGGCTCAGGCTTGTCCTAGCCTGAATGATCCCCTTCCTCACCCACTATGCATCCCCTCTGCAAGGAGGTAAGCACTGCAATATTTAAATTAGTTTTTGAAATTGGGTGCCACTCAACTCACAGAAGTTATAGAAGGGTGTCTCAATTCCAAGATGATTGAGAGCCATTAATTTAGGGGGGTTCTTCCATTTAGGCCATTGGGTCTATACATAGTTATAGAACTTTTGCACTCATCAGGTGATGCAAAGGGGAAATAATTTGGCTAAAGATGCCCAGCAGAGAATCTCTCTATTGCAGGGAGTATTGGATTACATAGTCCCCATAGCAACGTCCTGGGAAAGGTTGCTGCAGGGCCAAATCACTTCTCCCAGCTGTGACCAAGCACCCAACTAGCAACAGCTGGAGCCTAGACCAAATCAGGCAGCAGGTGGAGACAATTGAGCCACAGACTAAGAGGTGTTTTGGAGGGAGAGCAGAGAGGGAGCTTGTCAAGCAAGGAAGGAGTATTGAGGATTTGTGCTGGTTAAGAAAAGGACTCTAATTTAAGGTCTAGAGAAAATGGTGGAACAAAGGCTAGTAAAGTCTAGATTATTTACCCAAATTTGGGCATTTAGGCCTGTGGATTAGGGTAAGACCCTATGTCTCACAGATAAAATGGGCTGGGGGTGATGAAAGGACTGTGGGGGTATGATGCAAACCAAGGGGAACTCTTTGGTGGCATACGCAGGATAACAGCAGACCTTATCCTATGGAAGGGGGAAGAGCCAGGAATAAAAGGGGGTGCTCATATTGGTGCTGATTAGGTCCTTACACCAATGATGGAGGCTTTACAATCTCTCAAGGTAAGCTGTTCCAGTGCTTAACTATTCTAATAGCACAACTTAAAGTAGACAAGTGGCTGATATAAACCGTGGTTGGGCCTATCTTCTGCATCAGGATGCTGTAAACTATATGCTCCTCTTTCTATCCTATGCAGAGAAGAGCTCACGTGTGGAAGAACCTCGAATAACTCACCTTTTTGTATGTTCCATGACTCAAGTAAATTAGCTTCCCCCTCTTTCCCAACCCTCACAACAGGATGTCTTTGACTCACACATTGACCATGCATTGCCAAACTGGGCTCCCATCCCAGAGTAAATGTGATTGTCTTTTGTGACTATACTATTTTTTTGTGCTGTTTCCCGTAGATCACAGTAGGAAGCAACGAGTTTTAGCTGCAGCTTCCAAATGCTGTAATTGTATGTTCCAGCTGGTAGTGTTGCTGTAGTTAGAGTTTATTGTTTTACTCTGTTTTATGCTCTGTTTGAAAACTTGATACATAATGTAGGTGAAAAGAAGAGTCCCGTGAAGGCATTCAAATATTTTCTTATAAGGTGTTAGCATTAGCACAATGTGGGAAGAAAAACATCACCTGAGAAGTTTGGGGGTTTTTGTTTTGTTTTGTTTTTTTTTTTTACACGCGAGAACTATGATTTCCTAATAAACGTAATATTCCTAGCTGAAAAAGGATATATATTTATTAAAAAAAAAAAGTCATTGTTCTTTCTCAGGGTGGCTTTGGATTTGTGCTCCAATACTAATATTGAACGAACAATGCACACGTACACACTGTGTGTGGGCCTGGATTATCTTTCTTTACACCTGCAGACTTTCTGCTGTATTAGGCTAAGAAATATAATGTAATTAAAAATGAGGAGCCAGCTTTAAAAAAAATATATTAAAAAATGCCACCTTCATCCTTCCTTGTGCCTTAGGAAGAATTGTTATTTCCTTTGTGACAAAAGAATAATAACCCTAGCAGATGGGCTGCTAGAGAGCTATAAGAAAAGCTCTGTTAGAGTATGACTGACAAAGCCATCTGTGCAGAACAGGAAGTCCTGTCATGGCAATAATAAAAAGACTCTATTTCAGACCAACTCATTCCAAATAATCTGTATTTTAAACTTGCCTGCTAATTTTCCTAGGTAAATATCATTGTGCTAATATATCAATGATTGTCCCAGGTTTATTGAAATGACCTTCTTGCTGTTACCTCATTCTAGACAGTGTAAAATTCAAAGTTGTGGATTAGTACATCCTTTGGTGGTAATAAACCATTTAGAACTATTTTTCCCCCTCTCTTTATGCTTTGGTCTGAATCTCCTTTCTATCAGTGACACCTGTACTGAATGCTACTATTAGGAAGAGTTAAATCCTTAACTGAGCTCCAGTTCTTCCAGGCCCTTCTCCATCCAAAAAGGGGTAGTGCCATTTTGCCATAAAGAGCTGCTCCTCTAGCTCTGCTATTGTGAAAATGATAGTGGACCTCATCTGAAGAGAGTAGGCTCTCTCTTTCGTGTGCCCTCTCCTTTTTTTTTTTTTTTTTTTTTCTTTTTTTCTCTCTCTTTCTCTCTCATCCAGTCCCCTGTGCCAGGCATGATCATCCCTGCCTAAAGAAACACTTATCTAACTGCATTTTTCAGCCACTTATCTAGCCACATCTTCCACTTAATCCTTTCCAGTGATGGAGGTTCTACAATCTCTCTAGATAATCTGCTCAGTGCTCAACCAGCGCACAATTAGAAAGATCTTCCTCATATCTAACCAAGATATTCCATGTTACAATTTTAAGCCCACTTGTCCACTTCCCTCTGAACGGAGAATAGTTGATCGCTTCTTTCTTTGTAACAAGCCTGTATTTATTTGAAGACGGGTATCCAATTCCCCTTCAGTCTTTTCTTTCGATGAAATAATCCAAATCATCCAACCTTCCATCATATGTCACAGAGGTTTTCTAGACCTCTAATCATTTTTTCTGGCTCGGGCCTCTCTTCAGTTTTGCACTCCACACTTCAATAAAGATGTGAACAATGTTGATACAGAGCTACAGGTGAGGCCTCGGTAGCACTGAACCGGGTGGAAGAATCGCTTCCCTACCCGTGTCTGTGATGCTTCTGCATATCGCTATGCTAGTAGCTTGTTTTGCAACAATATAGCTCTCCTTTTTTTACAATTTTTGCTAATAAAGTAAAATCAAACTGAAATGAAAAAGAAAGGTCATTAAATAATTCATCCTTCTCTTCATTGTCCATTTTGAATCATCCTTCCCTCCTTGATTCAGTAAGGGTCCTACACTGTCCTTGGTCTTCCTCCTATATCTAACATACTTATAGAAAAAAAAAAAATCTCTACCTCTTCTAGCTGCCTCCCCATTTATGCCTTGGCCTTTCTGATTTGTGTCCTTGAATGCACACTGTACTCTCATTCCGCCTCAGTAATATGGCCAAGCTTCCACTTGTAAGATTCCTTTCTAAGTTTCAATGTCATTGAAAAGCTCATGATTTAGCAAAGTGGGTCTCTTGCTATGCTTCCTATCACCTTCCTTCACAGAGAGCTCGCATTTGTGCTCTCAGTATTATTTCTTCAAGAAAAAATTGCCTCTCCCTCTTTAGACAAGACCCCATGGGAGGCAAGCCTGTCGGCTTTCTGAGTTTCATAAAATCTGCATTGGGATCGGTAGAAAGTAGCAGATTTAGGGCCCAGGTTCTGAAAAGCGCCCGTTATTTCTACACCAAGCACATCCTATTAATATCAGTGGAGTTCAGTGAGGGTAGAAGAGTCAACCTACAGAGCTTGCTTAATCGGGATTTGAACGAAAGGATTAGAGTGCTCTCTGGCAAGTTCAGCAAGAGTATGTACACACTACCATGTAGTACAAATATACCCAAGCAAGCTTGAGACATGCCAGCTCTGGTACTGGTAACAGTGCAGCCACAGCAGCTGAGAACTATGTGCTGACTGTAAAATCTGCTTATTGGGATAATTAGGCTGCATCGAACTCCGTGTTGCCACTGCTTTGAGAAGATGAGTGGGAATGGTGTTCAGGAAAGGGAATTCCTCTGGGGTTTTGTCTGCTCTGGGAGCTGAGCTAGCAGCTGACTGCTCTAAATCCTCTGGGACTGTTTCATCCTTCTC